GAGTCAAGACTCAAAGCGTCTCGTTTCCCGAGACACAGGATTCCGAACCTCCAGTTCCTCCTTCCTTAGACCCAGGAGTCCTGGCTCCCAGCACCCAGCCTCTTCGCTCAGACTCAGGAATCCGGGATCTCAGTCCCCTTCGCCAGAACCGAAGGTTCAGAACCACCCCCCGCCCCCCCCCCCCCCCCGCAGCCTCCTCTTCTGCCAGGATCTACAAATACTGGTGCCCAGTCCATCCTTCCCGAAACCCAGTTTTCCAGCCCTCTGGGCCCCTTCCTACCGCTCCTCCCAGGACCCCATCTGGGACGCCCCAGCCCCTCACCTTTCCCTCACCGCAGAGGGCGTTTTCCCGGGCTCGGACCTCCGGTGCGTTCGGGTGATTTCCCCCCTAGACCACGCCCACTTTCCCGCAGAGGACCCGCCCTCGGCGGCCTGATTGGTCCGCGCTGGCTTCAGTCCCCTTGGTCCCTGTCTAGGGGCCCGCCCCTTGTAGAAGTCGCTAGCCTGTTCTCGAAAAGCTCTCCTCCTTTCTCGGAAGCTCTTACCTCTTGACCCCGCATTTCCTGCCTTTTAGGCGAAAGGAAAGCGGAGGATTTCAAAGAGAACTACATTTCAAAGGGCAGGAGGAAAATGAGGCCACTTCCGCGGGCCTCTCGGCCCCTTCGCCTCATGGCTGTTGTAGTTTTCCCATTTATTTTTCCCCCTAGGAAGTGGCTGCGAGTTACAGATAGGTCGGTAGCTGTTGGCACAGGTCATATTCTAAGTTTTAGCATATAAGCCGAGAGAGAGAGAGAGAGAGAGAGAGACCCTGCGATGCTGTCTAGGGTCCCTTTAAGGAGCACCTGCATGCCCTTCCAATTCAGAACCCCTGGAGCAGGGTTGCCCGGCTGCAGCTGGAGGCCAGGGTTCATTGCTTTGTTGGAAGTGGAGTGTGGTGGGCCAGGAGGGAGGGGATTAGGGCAGGTCCCAGTGGGAATCCCCGTCCCTCCCTCTGAGCCCTCTTTCTTTGCCTGCTTACTTCCCAGAGACCCAGAGAGTAGGTCCCCAGCTAAAAAGAGGGTCAGGTATGTTTAGAAATTGGCCGGAGAGGCAAGGTATGGAAGCGTGAATGTGAAAAGCTTCTCTGCAGGCAGGAGGAGAGGAATTTCCACGATTCCAGGCAGGTGGGTGCCGGAGGCCTGGGGTCACTGAGGGTCGAGTGTTGGGGGTCCAGGGTCCTAAGTTCCCATGCCTGGGTATAGAAGAGTTAGCTATTTGGGGGAGAGAAAACCAGATTCCTGTGCCCCTGAAAGTAACGAAAGCTGGAAACAGGCTGCTGGGTCCCTGGAATTCCGGCTGTCTGGGTCCAGGAGAAAAATTTAAAGCATAAGATCAGGTGTTGGAGGGCAGAACATCCACTGGGATGTTGGATCTGTGTCCTGACGCCTCACTCTTGCTTCTCCAGGATGTCTCAGGAGAATGACACATGGACGAAAGAGTGAGTGGGGAGAACAGGATGGGGAGAGCAGGCATGGAAATGAGGGCTCAGGAGGAACTCAGAGTTTGATAATGCCCACACCCATTTAACTCTGGCTTCTTTTTTTTTTTTTTTTAAATGTTTTTTTCTTTCAACGTTTATTTATTTTTGGGACAGAGAGAGACAGAGCATGAACGGGGGAGGGGCAGAGAGAGAGGGAGACACAGAATCGGAAACAGGCTCCAGGCTCTGAGCCATCAGCCCAGAGCCTGACGGCCTGATGCGGGGCTCGAACTCCCGGACCGCGAGATCGTGACCTGGCTGAAGTCGGACGCTTAACCGACTGCGCCACCCAGGCGCCCCTAACTCTGGCTTCTTAACCTTGTTGGTGGATCCGGCACCATCAGTCTAGCAGTAAGGGGCAGGGGCCTGGACTCCTGAGTCCTGACAAGGAAGGGCTCGGGGTCTCTGACTCCTGGATTCCAGACAGGCCAGTGCTGGGAAAAAAGAGTTTCAGAACTCTTCTGTGACCTCACAGAGTGCTCAGCACCCTAAGTTGGGCCTGGAGACGGAAGGGAAGGAGAGGCTCTTGGGCAGTTGGGGGGCGGGGAGGGGAAAAGTGGGGGGAGGTGTTGCCCTGCATGTTGTCACCATGAGCCTGCACCTCTCTCAGGTTGCTGGGGGATGAGCTGACCGCCATGAGGCTGCAGAAGCTGGAACAGCAGGTACTATGCGCGGGAGTCCTGCCAGCCCCTCTTCCGTCTTCCATAGCTTCCAGGAACACCACCCCCAGGACTTGCTCTGGGACTCCTGGCCCTCTTTGTCTCCCTCCAAGCCTCAAGTCTGCAATCGGGAAATGAGAAAATAGGAAGTTGGGCTTCTAAAGAAGCAAACCTTGGTGATGAGAGTCCAAAATTTCTAAAGAACTAAGGTTCTGGAGGGCAGGCCTGCTAGGGTCCTGGGGGAAGAGGGGATTGGGTGCGAGGACTGCTGGATCTGAGGAAGGAGGGACTGAGAGCCTGGACTCTCCCTCCCATGCATGCCTCCCCTTGCCCCGGGCCCTCTTTCACCCCCGTCTTCCGGTCTGGTTCCTGGTCGCCACCCCCTCACCCCCTTTTCCCACTCCTGCAGCGGCGGCTTTTTGAGAAGAAGCAGCGGCGGAAGCGCCAAGAGCCCCTCATGGTTCAGGCCAATCCCGACGCTTCCCTGCGACCCCGGCGACCATGGAGGCGGAAGGAGCGCCTCGCAGGGGACCGCGGTGAGGAAAAGTTCCCAGTGTCGGGCAGGAGCCTAGGCCTAGAGGGAGGGGTCTGCGGGAATTTGGGACGGGGCCTAAAGGGCTCAGGGTGGAAGGGCGGGATGGAGTCCAGAAGAGCCCAGCGCAGGCCCCTTGGGGGCCCAGGAGCAGGACCCGTGTGAGCTCAGCGGCGGGATAGCCAGAGCGCGGGGCAGGGCCGGGTACAACTGGAGAGTGGGGCCGGAGAGAATCCTTTGATTGGGCTTCTTGGAGCTCTGGGGCGGGGCTTGAGGGAGCTGCGGGGGCGGGCCCTGGAAAAGCCCTAGGGACTTGATTCGGGAGCGCCTGAAGGCTGGAATTAACAAAGCCTGGGGGGCGGGGCCTGGATAATTTAGACACACGTCCTGGAGAGACTGAGAGCCCCCTGTGGGATTGTGTGCCCGCGCTGAGTCCGCAACAATTTAGCCGGAGAGCTGTGCTTGCTTGAGCCTTAGGACGGAGTTAGCGTTCTGAATGGGTCTCAGGGGTTTGGGTGGTCAATCAGAGACAGTGCCTGGGAGTCTGTGAGGAAGCAGCCCTGCGCAGAGGACGGAAGTTTGTACATCGTGTTAATGGGATCCGCTGCACCTTCTCCCAGGCCTTGGGAACCCTTTCCTCCAGGAGAACATGCCAGAGGCACATCTGTGCTCTGGCCTCCACAGTGCCCTGGGCTTCACGATCTGCGGTGGAGATGGCAGCGGCGAGTGTGACCCACTGGTTTCGCCGACAAAAGCAGGTAATCTCGAGTCCTTGGACCTGCCTATATCCTAGAACTACACTCCCTCAGAATTCAGGACTCTGGAACCTTTCTCTCCAAAGGAGCCAGGAGTCCAGTCCACTCTGGGCTCTGTCATTCCTCACAGCAAGGAGTCTAGGTCCTGAAACTCCTTCTTCTCCAACACTCAGGAATCTGAATCTACCGGCCCCCTCCCCTGCCCAGCCCAGCCATCCTTGTCTCTAGTCTTTCTCCTTCTCCTGGCTTCCAG